AAACTGATGCAAACTGATACAAACTGATGTCAGGGTATGAGGAGTTATCATTTATATGCATATAGAAGTTATTCATTCTCCTTAGCTGTGAAAAAGCAGTATAAGATTTTATTAAGTTTCTTTCCCAGGAGCAGATCACAATGGCACGCGAAAGGAAAGGAAGGTAGTCAAAAATGGTCGATCAAAACAAATGAGACTGAGTTATCACCTGGACCGAAAGAGAATTCAGGAATCAACAGAGTCAGCGCGGGAAAATGAACCCTAGTGAATGGTGTGCTCGTGATTCTTCTTCTTCTTCTTCTTCTTCTTCTTCTTCTTCTTCTTCTTCTTCTTCTTCTTCTTCTTCTTCTTCTTCATCGTGAAAAATTTACCAACATTTATAACCATCAAGTCGTGTCTATTATCTTTAGGTATTAAAACAAGAAGTTTAAACCGGCTCCGGAGAAATTTCATGTCTCCCACGTGTAAACAAAAACTTCTCATAAGGTTTTATTAGCAGTAAAGAAGATTCACCTATGCAGACAAGTTGGGTAGCCATAATAACCATTTTCACAGTCAAATCCGTAAAGAAACGGAAGAAGGCAATATGTCGATAGATACTGGGGATTTGCATAACGGCAACATGCATCGTGCTGCAGACAACCTTTGTGCAAACAACAATCGCCACACACCCAGTGCCAGCACCAGCATTTCTTCCCGCGCATTCCAAAACATTCTTGGTCTGATCCATTGCGTATGTCGTCGCAATTTTGAGATTTTGCTTTTTCATTGGCCACAACGTGATTGTCATACGCAGTTCCTCTCAGATGTTTGAGGGAGTTTCCCGACGGACATACGTGATCAAGAACATTGACCTCAGAATTTATGTGATTCCTTAAAAACCGTTCCGTAAAGTGATCTTTAGCAGTAGTACTCCCCAGTGGTCCTGCGGAGCGGATGAGTCCCAAAAAGAACAAGTCGTTTCTTTCCACAACTTTTGACAAGTGAGAATTCAAAGAGTATTTGGATAAATATGCTGAGATTTTCCCCAACGTTATAACCTCGTTTTCATTTAGAGAACTTGTTCTTCTCCTCTTAAAAAATGCGCCATGTTTGTTTGATCGTAAAATTTCTTTGACGAACAATCGATGATTACATGGGGAGTTACTTTTATAGGAAAGTTCCTTGAACTTGCGTTTGACGATTTTCCGTGTCAGAGATCTCGACATGAACATTGGTACTCTCGTTTCCTCTGCCTTGTATCTGAGGTGAGTCAAAACATAGAAGTGTTTATCTTACAATTGATCAGATTTCAGTGGTCTCACATTTTAATAACCCCTGTACAAGGTCCCCTTGTAAATACCGGACTTAAGGTAACTTCCCACCTCGTGGGTGTCCTTCGGGAAAAAATTCGCAGGCGCGCTAGTTCCACTAAAGTCCTATCAAACTCTACATCAGAAGAAAGCTTGATAATTAAATAAATGCAGTTTACGATAAAAACATGATGAAAGCAAGTTTTTCTTTTAGAAATTGTCAGGACCCAGTAAGGCGTAAAGCGACCGTGGGTTCTTCAAATGAATTTATCGAATGAATGCACAGTCTTATTCTGACAAGGCATCAATCAACAAAAGCGTGACAGGCTTTTTCGATATTCCATTTGGTCGTGTAGATATCGGCATCAAAAGTTGGAGTAGCTAAATATATGTGAGACGTGTTGCGTGAAAGGATGCCACGGGACAAACATTCTACATCTCAAAATTTTGCTACACACTTTCGTTTGTCATTAGAGAGATTAAGCACCACGTATTTTTTTCCCGCGAACGGTAGAGAGGGTCACGTGACCTGACATTTCCCGCGTTTGCCGTTTGCCGGCCGCCGTTTCTACTCGAGGAGGATATTTTTCCCGTTTGTAGGGAACGCGAAAGCGTGAGTATTTGCAGCCCATTTTTACCGACTATTTCTACTTTTTGATCGCTTGCTTTTATAGGTAAGCTTCGTTTATCATCTTACTTCTATATGAACTGCTTGTAAAGGCAATAGAGTTCAAATTCAAGCGGAAAATATATTACTTCTTTGTATCCATTATTTCTAGTCGCAGTGAATGGCGACCGAGAACATTTGTTCTGCCGTGTCTTCGGGAGGCTTAAACAGACGAACATCGCCGGCAGACGGAACGGCAAACGACAAACGGCTAGCCGACGTTCAGCGTTCGCCGTTTTCGCGGTGCTAAATCTAACTATTATTCCTAAAATGTTTAAGCGAAATTTGGCGATATTTGGCGAAAATCGCTCAAAGCTAAATACCCTATAAATTCGCTCGAAGTGGATGTATTCCTCCAAAAGTCAAACGCGAGATTTTAGCTCATAAATTAAAGGTTCGTAAACAACTCGAGCCACGGCACGGCAGAACTCTCCTCTTGAAACCGCAAATAAATGTGAAAACCGTGGAGACCTCCTGGCGTCAATGACGATGGATCAAGATTTCCCGAGAGTATTCCTGGCAAATATTAATAAGAAGGCTGCGTGTAAACTTCTGATTAAAATAAGCGATAAAGCTATTGTTTGTTCATGAGAAAATCTTCTCGGGCATAAACAGCAAAACAATGCAGTAGTACTCAAAATGTAACTTTTGTTCGCTGCCTACCTCAACAGTCCAGCGCCGAGAACTTGTAAGTAATGGATATCTTGCTCCTTGCTGGTGTGATAAATAGCCAAAGTGCGTCCGCTCTGATTATACACTATACGAATTAGCATCTCAGACATGTAGAAACACATCGGCGAAACTGTCACAGCTTGGCCTTGGCTTTTCAAGCAGCATTTAATAATGTTTGCAGAAGTCTTTGTAAACTCAAGGTTTTGTGTAATTTTGGCTTCCGTGTCCAGGTTAAAAAATTGGAGGTAAAAAATAAGAAAACAGAGAGAAGATGATGAGTTCTCCATTGGTATGGTTCTTAGACCAACAAAGGTTTTAGTAGGAATGTGGTCTTTGGACTAATAACATGATTAGAACCCTGTTTTGAAGACAAAACAAATTGTCGACGTGGTTACGGCTGGTGTTATCACGTGCATGGGGGCAGCGTGGACTTTGTGTCGGGGAAATACACTGAAACGTAATCACCACAGATCAGAGTCCCGTAATTTTTTTTTGACGACATCATGTTATTTCGTCTCGTTTAAGTGAACTTATTAGCGGATTTTATCTTTGATATCTCCGTGTTACTGCATACTCTCTTGTGATTTTAAAATAAAAGATTACCGAACGACGAACCAATCTAAGGAGGGTTCGAATCTGTAATGGGATCACAAAATACGCAATGGAGCAGGGCAAACTTACGTGCATATTACCGCTGGTCAAAGTTGAACTTTTTTCCCCAAAAAAATCGACCTTATTCTTAAAGGAATTTAAAACCATAAATTTCCGAAGAGCAGTTTTTATTGGTTTTCTTGAAAATGAATCATTTAACATATTTCGCGATCTGGCTAGAATGACGGTCTTGAGGAATTAAGGCTAATTTTTCGAGATGTTTCAAACCGCGTCTTAGTCCTTTTTATTAACACTGAGTCAAAAGATATTCAAAGGGAAAACATTCATTTTGTTGGAGGCAACGGTATAAGCCTGCCTTGTTCGTTATGAGTCAAGGATAAATTTCAAGACCTTAGCAACTGCTTAGCTGTGCATCCACCCCTCCCATAACATAACATTAACCTTGACTTGTTATCAGTTGACTATTGTTGGACTAGGGGAGGGGTGGGTATGCCGTTGTTCAGAGACTGACTGATTGATCTAGTCTACCTGTGTGGCTCCATTGGATCCCCCCGAATACTATTTTCAATCGAGGCGGATATAATAACTACAAGGAAAAGGCACATGCAATATCACTTTGCAACGAATAAAATAAGCATGGCCCGAGTAGCACCATTTGCGCTTGAGCGGAACGAGGGACCAAATGATGCTACGAGGGGCACAAATAAACTATATGCCCTCCAAAAGTCATGTGATTATCATTATGAACACAGTCCAGCAAATACGAGATATCGCCCATTTTTCATCCTACAAGATAACCTCGTACGAAGTTATGAGGCTTACATGAGTTACTTGACCTTAGCGAGCCTGCGCTCCTTCGTTAATAGCTGGGTTGCGGTTGGATGATGGAAAGTTGAATGTTGAATAACGCGAAGTACTGCATGTTGACTATATCAATATCATAAGTACAAAAAATATTGCATTGCCACAACTACAAAGTGGAATTACGAGAAGTACAATGTTTAATACTTGAAACTTGGAAGTTTCATTGTAAAAAAGACAATATTGAATCGGAAAAAGTTTCATAAGGAATAAACACTTGAATGTCCAATCGTGAAATAAGGAAGAATACTTAAAGTACAATGTCAAATCACAATGTTGAATTTTGGCCCCGATGGGACGCCATATAGAAACTCTTTTCAGAGGTCAATTTCAATTTACATTTATTAACTCAGTTGATAAAACATGGTATCTTGTTATACCCCCCACCGACAAAGCACCACACTTTTGTTAGAAACTTACACCCTTTATTCATTTGATTAAACTGAATATACTCGCTAAATAGAAATTTTGAACATGAGCTAATTCAAGAGCTTCGGTCAATTACATCTAGGAACATCGGCACAACTTTCCGTTCTGACAAGATTCAGAGCTTTGTTAACTGAAAACGCCCAATTATTTGCCTGGGCTATAACTTTGGGGAGAAGGGAGGGTCGTTCCAGTAAGGTTTTATATGACAGCCTCTCCACACACATCTGACAATGATAATGATAATGATAATAAAATAATCTAGTATACATTGAAATACCAGCAGAAATTTACACCCATGCTCTGAGCTCATATCATTGCAGATTAAAGTGCCCATGTCTTGCTGTTCTATTAACCCTTACAGATATGAACTGATAACAGTTCTAAACACAGCTGGGATATCCCCCGTAACTATTGCAATTGAAGCCATAAAGAAACGGAAACAAACAATATCCTGACAATCTTTTTTTCCTGCAACATAAATCGTGTTGGTAAGATCCCTGATGATGACAGCAATCATTGCAAACAAGATTCCAGCACCAGCACCCTGCTCCGCACATTCCCAGACATTCATTCTTATCCGGATCTCCTCTCAGATCTTTACAAGTGCCCCGCTTTCTGTTAAAGAGTTTTAGGTATCTGTGGGCGGCGGTTTGTTTGTCACGCGTATGCGCAGCGTCACCAGGCTTTCCCAGCAGGCTCATAGACATTACATGGAAGCTCTTGATTAGGACATTTTCTCTTGCTTCGCCTTCGTCCTGTAGGGCGTGCGAAACATCCGACAAAAGCTGTATTTCTGGTTTCTTTTGAAGCCTCGTCATAGCTCTTTGATACAGCATAGAAGAACTTTGCCTCATATCCTTTAGCAAGCCGGTAACTCTCTCAGATATAGAGTCTTCAGCCCAAACGTTGGATTCCTTGCCGATAAAAAACGGCTCAGAGTCGGGATGGGGCCTGCCGAGCAAAATGAAAACGAAAATTTATCCACTTTCTTGAGGGTCTAAATGGAATTTACTGTTAGCCGTAAAACGGTAAAAAAATTGACCGTAAAGATATTTTAAAACTATTAGGGACCAAATTTTAAGGCTGTTAAAGGGCTAACGCTCGAAACTTTGAAATTATTTACGTTGGCCAATTCATATTATCAACTCAGTTGACAAAACCATAATTACAATGCAAAATTTTAACCGTTAGCCGTAAAAGCCATAGCCCCATCGAGACCCTCTTTCTTTCACTTGATGTGGAAGATATACCATAACCTCTGCGATACCAACTGAGTTAACAAGCCAACTGGGAGCTGGTCATTATACTGCGAAGATCAATCGCATCTTTATTTACTTATCAGCAGGTCCAATATGTGGTATTTATATATTCACAGTCGTTCAGAATGGATATATATCAACCTCTGGAACTGCGATCGTCGCAGTTCAAAACAGAAGCGGAACGGTTTTAACACAAAGGGTAAAAGCTGCTACGAAAACTTTACCGGTTGTACAAGCATTGTGCTACCTGATTAAAATTTCATTAGGCAAAAATCACTTGCTTGTTAGTATAACAATAACAGACATTTCGAGGAGTATCTCTGCACGGACAAAGAAATGATAACTAGCACTTACCACAAGAAATTGTTTCCCAATACTTTTACGTGAGTTTTCTGACGACTCGGCATACGAAATCGTACCAGAACAATGTTGTTCGTGTCTGTGAGTTGTATAAACCCGAGCTGAATCTCGAAGCACAAAGAAAGTCTTTCGTTTTGACAATAGCAACCCTTGACGAAGCTATCTGAGCGATTTTCTAACTTGAGAGGGGATTTAACACGAGTACATAATAAAGTGGCATCACAAAGGTAGACCAAGAGTAAAATTTGGAGCCGAGGAAATTTCGCAAAGTCATCTTGGATGCGAATGATCTTCTGTAATCCCTGTCAACACCTTTGAGGAAGAATAGAAAATTGGAGTTTTTTAAATTCATTTTTGCAGGTATCGAACCACGACGCCACAGGGAAGAACGTGCTTTGTGCGACTGTTTCCTTTCCTCTCCTGTCTTATGGATGAATTTTCTAACGAAGATTTTCGATTACTCAATGAAGAAACTGAATAATTAGTTTTTCAATCTTGTCTTTTGATTTTGCGGGTACGGAAACTGTTTGATCCCTACGACCTTTATGGCCGCAAGGTAGTATATTCTATCGCTGTATTGAAGCCAGCGTCAGCGGAATATCATTTGTCTGCAAACAAGAGGAAATTTTTAATAAATAAAGTAGATATATCGGTAACCTACCGCAAGCCCCTTTTCATACGAGCCCGCCGACCAGCAGGAATTCCCAGTCAGCGGTCTGGAAATCTTACCTCGGATACCAATCTGCAATTTCTTGACGATTCAAATTAGTCAACACTTCTTTAGCGAGCTCCAACTGCGCTACTTAGAGGATGTAAATTAGCGAAACTCTTTAAAGAAATGATATTTATAAACAAAATCTATTTATTTGTAGATATTTTGCACCAGCGAGTTCCATGATGTACCTGTGTTGATTGCTGAAGACCTCTTCCGTTCGCCGATCGCATAATATTTGCCATATTTCGTCTTCTAAATTTAGGAGCGGGGCATTGAGGTTTGTGGTTTTCCGGTTTTGGCTATATTTCAGATCGGTTTTTCGGTTTTTGTGCCAAAAAACATCGGTTTATCGGTTTTGTTAGATTTTCTGGTTAGATTAGATAGTTTATTTGAAAAACATTGCAACTAAAGGTTGAATTACGCATTCATTTGCAAGATAATAGGAAAATTCATTACCTGACGAGGGAATTCCGCGTTAAATTGCACACGAAAACCGATATTAAAGCCAGCACACGAAAATTTATAAAGGACACGCGAACGTTGTCCTAGCGGTACTGAATCTTTCACACTGAACACGTTTCTCAGTTTAAACGTAATGAAAACTAACTTAACATCTAAATCAGCTCTGCAATAACGTTTGAGTAGTTGTCTTAACTTAGTCTGAGCGATGTTTGGAAACCAGCCAACATAGGGAAGTTTATAAATTTTCGTGTGCTGGCTGTAATGTCAGTTCTATTGGTGAGACCACTCGCCACATTTGTACACGAGTTCGTGAGCACCTATTTTCGGTCAAAACTTGACATATTTACGAGCACCTGCAATCATCAAGGGCCTGTCTTGACTCTTGTGATACAGAATGTTTCACGATCTTAGATTCTACCGCTTCAAAATACCAAATTAAGATCAAAGAGGCATTTCATATTAAGTGGAAAAAAACCCATTCTTAATCAGCAATTGAAGTATCTAGAATTGTGTCTTTCCTTTTAATTATGTTGTTACTTGGTCTTTTATATTATTATTATTATTATTATTATTATTATTATTATTTGATCTAGTTAAGTGCGCGCTATTTACATTTTTCGCGTATTTTAATATTCAAATTGTAACGCAAGCCCTGACACGTAGTTTGTAACGTACCTTGATATAAATTCAAATGTACAACCGTTTAAAGCTCATTTGCAACTGAAGATGACATGAGAATGTCGTAACATGTCTTGTAAATTTAAACTCAAAGTTGTCGTTTCTTTTTTGAGTTATTGTCACTCTGCTGTCTTTACGTCCTTTTAAAACAAAACTTTGTAGCAATTTGACGATAGTTGTTATGCTTACGTAGATGCGAAACAATATCACTTAGCGTCGTTTTCAACTCGCAATTCCACGTTAAATACCTTGCTTCCTTAACCAATCAGAATGCGAGATTGTATTCAATGATGCGATTCTAAGAAATATATAAGAAATGGTAACATACTTTTAAAATATAAAAAATTAGGTAACAGACAATATAAAGTCTGCTTATACAAAGCGTGCGTGAATGATGAAAGGTAAAACTCTCATGGGACCTGTTCGTACGGACCACAGGTAAATTGAAAGCGCGCTTTTTCCGTAAGTCCACTGTAGATACATTCCTGGGCGGCAGGAGCAGTTATGCAGCTTGTGACCTGGTTCAAGAACGTTAGAAAAGAGCTTCTTGGCAATAGTCTCTGGTTTTCAGCATTTGGTTTTCGGTTTCGTCAAATATTTTGACGGGTACTCGGTTTGGTATCCGGTGTGCTTTTTCGGTTTTTCATATGGGGGTTCCGGTTTCTCCTCGATCTGAGCAGCAGTTATATATATATATATGCCTCTGCTGAAACCTAAATAGCCGCGAAACCTATGTTGCTCCGCTTGTGACCTCAGTATCAGATCGACTTGGATTTTGACAAAGTGATCGGTGTAGACGGTTTTGCATGCGGTTTTCGGTTTTGATCGAAATTTTTTTGCGGTTTTGCGGTTAGTAATAGACCACAATGCCCCCCTCATTTAGCCCGGATTTGTAACTATTGATCAATATAATTCCTAGTCATTATCATTTTTTTACCTGCTCTTTTTAAGGCTTATTCGACTGCCTGGTGATGTGATGTTTATAGCTGGCATTCTCCCAACTATAGTGTTTTCGAATCTATGGATAGTCACGAAAAAAGAAAAAAAAGAAAAGACCTGCCTTCTCACAAACGAAAAAAATAAATAAATAAACAAACTCTTCGAAACGCATGTGGAATTCTTATACAGTGTCGGATAGCAATAAATATAAACCATCCTTGGCCCAAGTATAGGTGGACCTTCGCGGGTGTCCTTAGCAAAAAAAAAGTAATTTAACGCGCTATTTGAAGCATAACCACCATAAACTATATATTAATGGAAAGGTTATGAAATGCACTATTCGTCAAAAACTATTTCGTTTTAGCTCGATCTTATCGTAAACCGAATGGGGTGCGACAGTCCGAAATGGACGATGTGTCTCCATTCACACTCTCGTTTTAAACGCAGAGAGATAGCAAAGATCTTACCTGATAATTTTCCTTGCAGGGACCCTCAGTTGGTGACCAACTAAAAAGGAATTGGCTAAACGGATGGCTCAGAGTTTCTCCTTGGGTCAGAGAAGATGTTCAAAACAAAAACAAAAAATGTCGAGATGCAATACTTACGTAGTCAAATAATGACAGCGCGAGCACATCAAACAAACTATGTTTAAGGCACTTCGGCATGGAGGATAAATCAGGGAGAGGAAACCGGTTTTGGAATACAAACTCCGTAGCGTTGAAGTTTTCTACGGAGAAACAATGTTTGAGGAGGATTCGTCTGGCAGAAAATAAACCTAATTACGGAATAAGGAAGATTTTTTTTTTCAGGATTTTTTGAGTGAAACGGGATTTTTTTTGGAAAATTTGATGATTTTCAAATTATTTAACGACGTTTAGACGATAATGTTTAAAATAATACAGCCAATAGCATAAATACAAATTTAAAATTATATTGTGATAAATCGGGATTTTCAGAGTTAAGAAAAATGAGAATCATACCCATTTTTTGGAGAATTTCTGATAGATTTTTTAAGGCGCCATCAATGTATGGGATTTTTGTTCTCAGGCCTGAAGCTGTTGTTAAGGAAATCTAGAAGTCTTCGCGAAATGAACGAAAAAACGCACGAGTCACATATTTTTCATTGTTAACAATTCATGAATCACACCTGCCTCGGAATAAAATTTACGCGTCGCAGTGAACCCATTACTTATAAATCCTTCGCCACCCTAATTGAACCCCCCAAAAAAACACTGCCCCCCCGTTGCGTGCTACGTGCACCTGACAAATAATCGTCAAAGTGACAGTCGAGGCAGCGCTTAACAATCAGTCAACAGTAACATTTTTGAGGTCGGCTGTCACCTATCTTTCTCTTCAAACTTGATCAATCTGAGTCTTTACCTCTTCTACAGCAAAAACAAGCAGATAACACTGAAACCTGAAACTTATGAAGGGTAATTTAGTTGCGTTCTGCCCAGACTATTTTTAATCTTGTTTGGCTAACCGCTTTTGCCTGAGAACACCATTTAATTCGATAAGGTACACTGTGCGAAGAACTGAGAAACGGCGACTGCTATGATACCTCTATCGTATTCAGATGATATGATGGTCGAAACTTCGCCTTCCATCAAGGAGAAATGCGCAAGTAAAGGATGCATGTTGAAATCTCCTCGAATACGAATTGTAATTATCGTCGTGGTCACGGCCGTGTTAGCCATAGTCATTGGATTTCTCATTGGTTATTTCGTACCGAAGCCGCGAAAAGAAGACTCAGACGAAGAAAGAAAAGACATGCACGATAAGTTTGAAAGCTTGGTCAGTGCAGAAGAATTGGAGAGAGAGTTAAGGTGAATATTGAAGCTTGTTGTTCACGAAAAACACGCTACCTAATTCTATTGTTTGTTATGGAAATTTCGCATGAACATACTTCGATAATTTTACCGACTCTCGATCGTGATCACAAACAAAGCGAAAGTAGGAACGAGTTTCTTCAGCTACCAATTGAAATTTTTTTTGAAATCGACGAACGACCATGGGTTTTTCATTCCACTTTAAGAAAAGGAAAGTGAGTGCTACGCCATAACTAGACCTTATTATTCGCCTCTTAAACTTAACTTTGACACCTATGTTTCTTCCCGCGTGGTAATTATTTTGTCTCACTGAATTTCAAAACCGGCAGTCAGGTCAAACAATAATTCCTTATGTATCTAGTTGCTCTTCTTAATTATTTGCTCTTTTGGCGTGTTTTCATTACGGTAATGCTTCGCTCCATCGAAGCATTGTGTAAACAATAAGAGGCTTTATTTCTCGCTATGTGTCAATTACATTGATTCATCTACGTGACAACCAGAAAATTTGCATACCAGAAGAAACAACTCAAGAGTTGCATATAGAGTTACAGTTTCCATGCGCTCATTTAAGATTATGGCTAAATGGAGGTGAGCTTATTTCTTGTATTATTCATCATCAACCGTTTTCTTCAAAAACATCCCGATTAATTTATTACTTGTCCCCGAAGAGTAGAGGAAAAAAAAGCTATTCTCCTGTACTAATTCCGCTATATCTCAGAATCTCAGAAACTTCTTGATAAAGTGGCATTAGAAACAGGTTTCCCTTGCATCTCTACTGAAGGAGGAGGGGGGAGGGGAGGGTGAGGAGTTGTTGATCCAAGAGGGGCGCTGGTTTTTACAGCCTATGGGGTAAACGTTTATTAGAGTGTGGGCGCTTATTCGAGGAAATACTACCTCTGGGAGGGAGCGTTGCGTGTCCGAAACATCACGGCTGCGGGGAGACTAAGGAAATACGGAAGTTGGTGAAGAAGAGCAAAAACAAGTAACCACTCAAAGCCTGGGGACGACGTCGGTCCTGACGTTTATCGAGGCAGCCAATTTTCTCCTGCCTCTCAATTCTCAGCCTTTTCGGAAATCCAAGCACTGTACTTGTACCCTTAGCTCGATACTGTTTTGAAACTTGTCAGTTGATCAGAGAATCATGCAGTTTTTACCTGGATCAAAGCAAAAAAAAAAAAAAAATGAAAAAAGCATGGACGGTTTATAATTGGTCTTTAAGTTGACAGGACGTAGCCCTTCACCAGCTCTCTTGTGCTGTGGGAAGACTTTCTTACTGCGGTGAATTTAAATTCAGTGAACGCATCCTTTTGATCTTCCAGTCTGAGGTAACTAAAATGAATTAAAGTTGTGGGAACCCTTTCTTAACTTGCACTTTCCATATATAGTGGCCAGATCAAATTTACAGTCTTCAAATCGCGGACTTCCGGTTACACTGCGCAAAATTACCGGTTTAAGAGAATAGTACGATACCTGGAAGTGAAACTGCAGGACCTTCGTGTTTGCCCACAGCGTCACTGGGGTCTCTTCCTGTTAATAAAAGCCTTTAAAGGGATTTGGAAAGACTTAAATGGACAAATTAAAGATTTTATTCAAAGTGGTTGGTAAGGGGGAGGGGCGGGCGGGGGAGAGAAGTCGTAATATCACCTAATTAACTTTATTCTTCATCGATTCCATTTCAGATTTTTTACGTCAGAGCCGCATGTCACTGGTTCAAAAAGACACAAGACTCTTATCGATCATATGGAGACAAAGTGGCGGGAATATGGATTTGACGTGGAAATACCGGAATACCAAGTGCTTCTTTCCGTGCCACAGGTTGACCAGCCAAACACTGTTGAAATTCTCGACAATGGTGTAGTGAAGCATACTATTCTTGGCAAGATTAATGTAGGTTCAACTGAATTCTTTTAACTCATTAGACCATGTTTATTTCAACGAACAAAAAAGGTATTTCCCCTTAAAAATATAAAGAAAATTTAAATTATTGGCCTGAACTTTAATAAATGGACCTCACGTTTTCCTCCGCCTCTCCCTAAAATTTGGCCCTTCCTTGAATTCGCTCAGAGGACTGAGTTAGCGTAATCCGATCTTGAGTTAACTTTTGTTCTCGTTCCAGGTCACTACAAAGGCCGAGCCAAAACGTTCGTTCCCGTACTTCCCTTTTATCGCTTATGCTCCGCCAGGTGATGTCGAGGGAGAACTGGTCTACTGCAATGCAGGACAAGAAGATGATTTACTGATGTTGGATAGGATGAACATCTCCGTCAAGGATAGGATTGTGCTTTTGAAAGGCCACGGTGCTGGTGTAAGTGATAGTAGATTAATAAAGAGCAAGGGAAATTCATAACATGAAAACTGTTGCTTGTTAGGGTCACCACATATTTATAGCATAGAGAAATCAATTGGAGACTCAGAGACTGATTAAATTTGTCTCGATAATGAAAAGTAAGTTCTGTTTGTGAGCGTGAAACTCAAGGAGATACACAGTTGTCAAATTCCGAGTGCACAGGACTCCAGATCGAGAGATCCGAGCTCGAGCCTGGGTGTGCTGTGTCGTTAGGTAAGCACTTACTCTCGTAAAACCGCAAACACCTTCAGAAAGTGAACCTCACGGGTACGGAGAAGGATACTGATGACAGGGATGCAGTTCTTTCCAAGGGAAGGAGAAATACGCCTAACCCCTTTATTTTGCAAATGGGGATAAGATCAGAAGCCCTGCAGTACTGAGGAGTTAGGTTTTAGACTTTGAACATCTTTGGGTGCTACAGAAAGGAGGAAGGGTAAGGAATTCGACTTTCCTGTCGTAATGGTGGGTGCTTTTGACTGCAGGTCTAATAATTTGGGGCTCAATCCCTTACCCAGTGAATGTGAGGTTTTTAAGAGCAAGACACTTAAGCTTCACATTACCTTTCTCAACGCAAGAGGTGAATATATCTTATTAACCAAGCGCGAGGACCGTACTTGGAGAATATCGGCCCGAGGTCTTGACAGTACGGACCGAGGGCCGATATTCTTCCAGTACGGTCCCGAGCAAGCTTGGTTAATAAGAGATTTATTATACGATTGAAGTTCAAAGGGACACAAGTGCGGTATCATTCGGGACAGTGCCCGGTCCAATACTGAGAGAATATTGACCGGCAATAGAGCATTTTGATTGGTTGATTTTAGTTATTAGCCCTCTGACTGCGCGAGTCGTGTAATAAAAAGTGGTACTGGTGACCGGTGAACTGCCCAGGAACCTTAACGAAATAGTAAAAGGTTACATGCGATACACCAGCAGGAGAAGTAGCAATACTTGCTTTACGCGAGAGAACCTGGGATAAGCTTTGTACCCAGATCCTACTGTGTAACTGTAACTTATAACTGCACTGCCGTAAGAGGCCTGGTTATGAGACCAGCTCTGACCACATGAGCTACTAGGTTCATAAGCTGATTTTTCCGTACCCTTTCCTTAACAACTAAAGGTACCTTCATCCGTGAGGTGCAATTAGATTCAAAAGGAGAGAGAATGGCCCTGGATAAAGGCGATAAAAATCAGGTATCACAAAAAAGGCAGGCTACATTTTTAAAGGTGCTCCCCGTGATGCGCTAATGTTCTTAGCTGACTTCATTCGCCAAACTCGTTCTCGGGACTGTTTACGTTGGAGAAAAAGCAAAGGAAACTGAGTCAAGTTGTCGGTATGTAACTTTGAAAATAAAGCGCGGTACTTCTATCCCTTAGGTATCCGCTGCTGCCAAGCGGGGGGCTGTGGGGGCGATTTTGTTCGTAGATCCTCAATCTGTGGCTAGAGAGGGAGCTGGTGCCAAACAAACATATCCGTACACTTCTTGGATGTCTAAGCAAGCAGTGTTCTCGAAGGCAATATCACAACGAAATGGAGACAAACTAACTCCTCACATACCAGCTATTACAGGAATGTATCGTCTGTCCAGAAATGAAACCGATTTACCAAGTATTCCCGTTCAGCCGATCTCGTACGAAGATGCATCGAATTTGCTGAATCGTCTTGGAGGTGAGTTTCAATGCATTCTCTTAAAAAAAAAAAGAGTAAACGATAGAAAAAATATGATAATGGTTAATGGTAAGTAAAGCAATTGCCACGTTGGATGATGCTTAAAAATCGTTTTTAAATACAGTTGGTACTAAGTCCAGTCCGCTAGATGTGATTTTATTTGGCTTGGTTTTGTGATTTTAAAAGGTCTTCGCATGCTCCATCAGTATATTTTCTTTCAGATATTAATTTTTCATGGATGGTATTTCAGGAGACGAAGTCCCCTGGGATTGGCGTGGTACTCTTAATGTCACCTACAGGTTTGGTCCTGGATTTACCAAACCCGGCACTAAGGTGCGACTGCGAGTACACAACAAACTGGAGGTGAGATCAATCTACAATGTCATCGGAACTATGTCTGGTCAAGAAGAACCTGATCGATACGTTCTTGTGGGAAACCATCGTGACGCAATTTTCTTCGGAGCCGCAGATGCATCCAGTGGTTCTGCCACTCTGATGGAAGTCGCTCGATTACTCGGAGAACTAAAAAACGACGGCTGGAGGCCGCGAAGGACGATCAAACTATGCAGCTGGGGAGCCGAGGAGTTCGGTTTAATAGGCTCGGTCGAGTGGGTTGAGGAACACAGCAAACTTCTAATGGATCGAGCTGTTGTTTATTGGAATACGGATGTTGCTGTGGGCGGCAATTACGTCTTGATTGCACAGGCATGCCCAATACTTGCCGAAGCGATATTTCAAAGAATGAAAACGATCAACGGTCCTGATAAGAAGACTCTTTACAATAGTCTGCTGGAGAAATTCTCCAAATCGGTAGACAACCCGGAGGAGCCTTGGACGATCCCTTACCTCTTTTTCAGCGATTATTTGCCTTTTTATATGAGTATTGGCGTACCGGCCGCTGACTTCAGTTACTTTTATGGCGATGAAAAGAATGGTATGCTTCTTTATCCAGTTTATCATACGCAAGAGGACAGCTATTATTGGATCAAAAAGTTCGTGGATCCCGAATTTGCTTATCTTTCCACCATGACTAAGCTCATAGGCGGACTCGCTTTGGATTTTAGCGACACTGCTGTTTTGAATTTCAATGTCTTACGTTATGCCAAAGCAGTCAAAAAGTCTTTCAAAGAGATCGATGTAATGATGGGTAGCCTGAATGTGTCAACGACCTTTGTGCATCATGCTTTAGAGAAATTCATGAAGGCGAGTACTCTTTTTCATTCGGAAAAAAACAAGCTTGCAGGAGACGAAGGCCAACTGGTTCTCAGGAGAATCAACGACCAAATGGTTCGCGTGGAGAGAGCGTTTATCAGCCCCTACTTGAGGTTAGATGACCCGATGATGCAGCACGTTTATTCACGGAACTTTCAAGGAAAATCCTTTCCAGGGGTTATCGAGGCAATGGAAAGAGGAAACGCCGCTGAAGTGAAGAAACAGTTGTCGCTGGTTGCAGAGGCTGTTCTGTCTGCTGCTGATATCATCAGGCCTGTTGTCTCCAGTAAGCAAGGAGGAAAATAATGAAGTCTCATGAAAACTGTAGGACATAGTTCGTTCAAGGCTCATCATCCCGACTTCCCGCATTTAGTAGTTAAAAGCTATGACCCTAAGAGCCGCTTTCGACTGCTTTTCATTTCCGCGTGTTACCGTGCAACTCAGCTAGATGAGAAGTTTGAGATTCCGAAGTGAAATTTAACCGTTCCAATTTTTTTAACGGTTGTAAGAAGAATTCTACTTGAGAAGCCGCCATTTTGAAAATGTTCAGTAACCTGGCCATTTACGCAACGCGCGGTTGCTTCTGGTCTTTTTATAGCGAAAATCACCAGAAATTCTTTTTGTGCAGCAATCCCCCCTTTCCATCTCCCCCCCCCCAAAAAAAAAAAAGGGTTAAAGAAGAGCCAGGACGAGTGAAACTTTAAATTGCGTTATTGCGTGGACAGTAAGTTGCCAGTAACCCAACCTTTGCAAAATTGTCTTCATTTTTGTTAGAAATTAGAAAACGACTGTCTCCACTTTCAATTTTGCTCAACAACTTGGCCGATAACCTGGAATGCAATATAAACCTCGGCACATAACGTGGCTGCACAAACGATTTAAAATCAATCTGAGTTTGCTAATTTAAAACAGAGGGGCCGATGACCAATGTCTAAAGCGGTAGATGTTTGTGAACGAAGTGTTGCGTCCCCGCAACTAAGTCGGTTTTTCAATATGGCTGTGCTCGCAGCAGAATTTGAGCTTAGAAGGAAACATCTTTCTAAACGTCGGGTCACCCTCTGGATTTTCTTTCAGAAGGAGAAACACTATGGTATGTTTTTATGTCTTGGGTTCTGAATGGAGGCGATGAAAATCATATGATTTCTTGTGCATAATTCTTTAAAATATCACCTTTTTTTTCGTGCGTATTAAGGAGTTGACAGTCAGTCATTTAGATAAACCGGTGGAGAGATAGAATTAGCGAGGATTGAAAGTGATCTTAACTTGGTATTAGCAAATAGTTAAAAGATACGCAAGGAAGGAAGTTAAGCGAGGTCGATTTTAAGAGGATTGGTTAAACCATAACCAAAGTAATCTCAGAGGGTCCACTATTTGAAATAAAGGATAACAGTACAAGGAGCATATGAGATTTCAGAACAATGCACTTAACTGTTGTAAATTTCAGGATATTACGACATAGTCCAGCTTGTGATTGGATGAGTAGATGGCACGAGCTTTCTGGACCATTCAGAGGGTAAAGTTATGCAAAAACAAAGCAACCACGGATTAGTTTAGACACTTAGTTGCAAATTGGGTTGTTTCCTCTTTGAATGACAGAGAGAGATTTTCCAGGCAGTAATGTAAATATTCAAGGCATATTTCCTGTAGTAGTTTCAATAAGATTTGAACAAAATATAGAGATTAAATATCTAAGGCATGTTTCCTGTAGTAGTTTATAAAAGATTTGAACAAAAGTTAGCGACAGTGTCTCGACTTAAATCAATGCAGTATTGTAACTGTCAAATGAAACTACCTAATGAAAGTGTAAAAATACGCAAGTAAAAAGATCTTATCAGCAACTGATAAGACAAGAAATGTATGTCTCCTATTGGAAAAAGACTGATAAGGGAAATCTGCAACAACATTCGCCATCGATTTATGTGCAGTATTGGTCAGCCGTCTTTCGTGATTTTTTTCTTAGAGGAAGCAGATGTCTGTGTTCCTGAGACACAATGGAGAGACAACTTTAGTTTTCATTGACTTTTTCCTTTCCTTCAAGTAGTAGTGTGGAATTTCAAAAAATAATCGTCAAATTTGCGTCATGGAAATGTTAGTTTAGCGACGTAATTCGGAAGGCAGAATTAAGAAGTTGATGCCGTCTTTTTAGTAAGGAAATCCTTATAATTCAAGTCATAGCTCACAAATTAAATTTATATTATCTGCTTCTTCCTCCAAATATTTCCTTTCCTTCTTGCGACAGTGTAAAACGCAGAAGAACTTAGTCGCAGCTTTGTGAAATAAAATAAAGTATTTAAGCTAATGGAGTACCCTAAAATAGTCCATCGTAATATCCAGTCTGTGTGATCGCGTTTATCTGTTTGTTTTGGAACTTTTCATTATGTGCGTGCGTAATCATTCTTATCTCCAACGTGAGCTGTGTTTATTATCAAATCTATTGAACAGGATCACAAGGTCAAGTCGTCCCTTAATGCATTCTAAAAAGCAGTTGGCTTAGAACCAAGAACTCACACGAACATCTGTTAATGATACTTTCGTACTTCGCGTTCTTCTGACGGGTCCGCAATGTAACGTTATTCTACAAGGAAATAGCTGCCATATTCAGCCATGATTAAATAAACTTTCAATTTTTATGATCGGGCATTGCAATTTGAATATACTAGACCAGTTTAACATAGCTAGGTTTTTATTGTAGCTCTTTAGGCCACACACTGGGAGCTTATCCCATTTTCCGCACTGCATGAGATGAGCATGGAGTACTACCTCTCCGGTTCAGCTGGGATTCTCCTCTATCACAGGAAATTGAAATTACACTTGAAAGTTGTTTTTTATACTGGAGATGTCTGTTAAGCCAAACTGGGCGCCTTTGTTAAGTCAGGTGTAGTCACGGTTCTCCTTGCACATTTACGGTTTCTGGATTTTCAGACAACGAGAGCTAGTGAGCAGTGGCACAACCACATTGCGTTCCGTTGTAGATCTAACTTCCAGCACGCCTCTCAGTTACATCGGATTACTTCTTGGTGTGTAGGAGTGCATTCCTATATTTTGGATCATTTCCAAAACTGTAGATTCCGGTAGAATACGAGATTATCTAAGTTATGGCTTGTGCGAAATAAAATATTTACGAAAGCTCATGAAATGATGTGAAATCCGCATGGATTACAGAAAGCTTGATAGCTATTGTAATTCACTCCAAGGCCTAAGGTTTGCAGCCAACGCAAAACGAAACATCACGTGTAAGCCCACAATTGACTCAGAGAGCGTGAAGGGTAGACCTCAAAGTTCGGTCAAAAGTAAAAAAATCGCGAAAGCCTTTAATATCAAAGACCAGATGCGAACAGAATAGACTACCTTTAGCGAGCCTTAAGTACAGGATTTAGTCGAGGATTTATAGATTTACGGGCGGAAGATGTTATATCTGACACCCCCGTAAAGACCCCGATACCCACTGCCGTAAACTCGTTATCAATGAAACAACAGCCAAGGGCCTGTCTGAAACAATTTCCCCAAGCAAATGAAAATAGCGAGGAATGTTCCAGAACTTCTCGGTTGTGCCATGCGAGCTGATTGCTTAATACAGTTGAGTGGAGTTGTTTGTTTATACACAATGCTGGCTAGATTGGAGTCTAATTATTCATTTTTCGAGATTTTTGTCAGTCAAAGTACAAGGAATTGTTTTTGCTCACGAAAGAATCTTGATGCAATGTTGTGTCGCATAAACAACTCTGAAGTGGTTTAATTTGGCGGGGTGGTAACACAAACATGTAAATGAAAAACTTACGTAAACCATCTGGATAAACAACGTTTTGACATCCAAGTGGTGGAATTTAAATAAGATTTAAATCCTTAACCCCTTTTAAATTCTATCGATGGATAATCTATTGAACCACCACACTTTACAAATCACTGCCAACGTTGTCCTTAATTTAACATTTGGTGAATATGCCTTTACATCGCTCAGCTTTCTTGGATACAGTGAATTATGTGCAGAAAGAACTCCATTCTTAGGTTCAAGAGAGTGTGAGGGCAAATGATTTTTGTGCATACATACTGATTATCACTGAGATAACGTTACACGTCAGTATTTCTACTTTGTTCTTATATGTCAGGGTAAGTCGATATCCCGGCTCAACATTCTTTATCTGACTGAATTCAGATAAGCGATAACATGCATTTAAAGAAAATATTTTTAATACGGAGGCTTGCTATTTATCCTAATGAAAATGGTCTCGTCTCAATCGTCGATTGATATTTCGCACGCGATGAACAATAAAAAAAATTCACCGAGGTCAGTGTCTGCGACGTACGTCAACACTACAAAGCAATATAACGTAGTTACACCCCACGCACGTAAATGTTTCTTCTCGTTTACAGGATATGTTAACGCCGAATTCCTTGGCAAAAACACTGACTCATCGTTACTTTGTAAAAGTATGATACTTCTTTGATATGGATTTTGTTCGAAATTGTTTTTTTTTTAATGTTAAAGCGGACACATATTTAAATTTGCGTTTATTTACAATTGGGCTGCTCAGGAAGGATTTATTTCATACGCTTGGCTAACAAGTACGTAAGTGGTTGACGAAACGGGATAATTGCCCAAGGGGACATTATTTTCATTTAAAACATATGAACTGAAGCTCGTGAATCAAGTAATTCGTTTTAAATGACAGAGTTCAAGTTGGCTGCCTTCCTTTAATAAGGTTCACCGCAAACACTCATTAGATTAAGTCGCCTACATCGAGCAGCCTTTGTTCCTTGCAAGCGCTTTTTTTTTTTTTTTTTAAGAAAAGCCTTTGTGTGCACTAAACACACTTCTCAAATGGAGCTCAATAGCTCCAAACTTCACCTATCGTCGTCATTTTCACAGTCTGAAATTAGTTTTGGAGGACTTCGTCCTAAAAAGAAGCAAATTGTTTTGATAGTATTGTTTATTGGAGTGATTTCAGCATCGGGCGGTTTTCTCCTTGGATACTTTTTGAAAGGTGACAAGACCATCAAGAATGAACATTGCCCGAAGACTAAAGACCAGAGTGAGTCAAACCCCCGCGACGGCAATGAGGCTTTCAGCCAATTTAAGCAGAATGTTAACACCACAGAGCTCGAGGAAACCTTGAGGTACACCTTTAACCACTGATACTATAGCAAGGCTTTATGCTGGATACAATTTACAAAATTTCAAAAATATTTTCCACAGTTTTCGAGGTATCCTTGTCGATTATGGCAGGTAGGATAACATTGTAATAGTATTAGTTTCCGCGATAACTGTTTGTTTGTTTTGTTCGTTACCTAAATTTCATTTATCGGCCGCAAACTATGGAGGGTATGCTAATTCCTTTATGAATGCTCGCCTGAAAATATGACATATTAGTTGATTTATCACCACCGGGTCAAAATATAATTTAATTAATTTAACTGCGAGCAGACGCTTTCAGGGATGAAGCGCCATATTAGCGCTCAACCGAGTTACAGGCGCAGGTTCCAATCTCGTCGAAACCTCGATTTTTTCTGGTCTCTTACTTGTTATTTCCATAACTGTAGTTCACCTGTTCGATTTAAACCTTCGTTTAATAATTCACCTTTAGAATAAGAATGATGAAGTAAGTTCCTTGCTTTGTTCGTCGAACAAAGAAATATTTTATTTATGTCACCAGCATGGGACAAAGGAGGAAACTAAGTCCCTCACTGCTCTCTTTATTGGTCCATTGAATAGTAGAGGACTCGATGGTATGCTATGGCGTATGCTAGGTTCATATCTAATACGTGTCAAGCATACTGCCAGGATTAGCAATGTCGAGAGTGCTGTTTCTTTAAACTTAGTGCGAAAGAATTCACGTAAATTGTGACTTTCATATGATGCACGATCCTCAGAGTAGATAGCGCTATTTAAGCAATGGCGAAAATCAGACCTGAAAAAAATCAGGCCTGTACGGGATTCGAACCACTGACCTCTGTGATACTAGTGCAGCGCTCTACCAATTGAGCCAACTGGGAGCAGGCCGTTAAGTTGATTCGTAACAAACCCGTGAAAGTGATAAATGAGATACAATGAAATATATGAACTTCATATATTTCATTGTATCTCATTGTGACTTTCGTTGCTACCTGTTGAACCTACATTGTTAGAATTGATCTCTCGCTCTCTCACTTTTCATGTATCTAAGTCTAAAGCGAAAAAAGCTTCCTATTTATTTCAAAATCATATATCTAATCGCAAAAGTTCTAATCTTGGAAGAGAACACACGGTTAAACAAGTCGGCAAATCACTCTCGTTTCTTCAACTATCTTTCATCAATTATCAATATTTTCTCTCAGTTTTAAGGAAGTTCGTGATGAGGTGATATTGCTCGAGGGCTGTAGCTTCCATCGTCAAAAATTTCAGAATTGATTCAGTTAATTATCAAAGAAATTTATTTTACCCTCAGGGATGACGTGCAGATCGACAACCAAATATTATCTCTCGAATGGATACGGGAAAGCGACTTTGGCATCAGTGTGTATTAACGAATGATTTCAAACATTTCCAAGAGCGTTTGACATGAAGAAAAAGCCGTACCCCCGCAGAGAATCCGAGGTTCAGACTTTTCGACTTGGAAAGGTCTGAGTTTCAGATCTTTTATAAATTTCGAATCTTTATAAACGTCCGGAAATTCTTGGTAGGGTTTTCAGTGTTCAGGGAACAAGTTCTCCGCACGCCGCTTATTTTAGCAATGACGCATATCATAATAGCTTTCTGTGTGGTGTAAGAATTAATCAAAGGAAACATTTTCAGGTATTTTCGTCGAGAAAGAGACATGCACTTAATTTTAGTACTTCTGACAGCTTCTGGAACAAAATTTATGTCGTTTCAGGAAAAGAGCTAGAATAATGACCTTAGAATTTGAGTTATTTCTAAAAAGAAGTACGGGGAAATGAAGATTTCATTACATACATTAGCGATTATTATAATTTATCTATTCATAAAGGCTTTATTGATCAGGTGTCAAACATTGTGGATTTATTTCATTCTTGCTTTATTAGCCTAACCCTTTAAATATGAGGATTTAACGCTTGGAAAAGGAGCATTCCTATTCGCACAACCTTCCTCAGCCTCTAAAACCGCAATTGTACATGTAATTTTAGCTTGACAAATGCGCTTTTCAAAGAAATATTTCCTTTGAAATTGTAGAGCAGGGTGGAAAAGAATTCGATTTCAATCCCTTACAAATTCTTGGACAATAAAGAATTGGTTCGTGCTTAGCATGCGTATGTCAAGTTGTGGATGTACGGGGAAGTTTGGAGCGCTCGAGAAAAGCGAAGGAGTTGCTCGAAGCGCAGCCGAGAGCAACTACAGCTTCTTGAAAACTACCCGAAAACTGCGAGTAAAAGAAAAGGCTAAAAGACTCAGGGATATTTGGAGATCGAAGCTTTATTTAGGGATCTATAAATTTGCTGATAGGAAGCTAAAAGTAAACGAGCTTCTTGCATATACGTGATCGCACAGTATAGAATTCACGGCTAGAAAATTGCGTTAATATGTGATGAAAATTCTGAAATTGTATGATTTTAAAATTAAAATCTATTGAAAAAATAATTTTCAGGGCATATCAGCATTTACAAAAAGTATTCACCAATGGAAAAACAAAGCAAATGCCCTCGAATTTCTTGCGTTTACTAGACCCACATGGTTGATTCACCATGTTTGAATTGTTGTTTAGAAGAATTTATGACCAAAAAATGGCCAGGCTTTGTATTGAAAATTCTAAAACCAAAGTCTTCTGTTGGACAACAGTTTTGAAACATGTCGATCGGTGACACTCAAAATAATATTTACGGCTCTAACGATTGTCCCCTGCGTCGCGAAGCCTCACTTGAAGTCAGAAAGGTCACTTCGTTCTCTTCCAGCCATTGTTCGCATCGCGTTTGGGAATGCAGCATCGATCGTCAACTCTCAAACTGATTTCGTCGTTTAAACGAGCTACATTCTCATTGTCTTCGAAATAAGAATTGGTTTGGCATATTTACTATCCTTTTTTAGATTTTTACCAGGGTATATAATATCCTTAGGAATTAGGTAGAACTTGCGCCCGCGATATGTTTTAAGTATCCTTATCAGATGGTATCAGTACATTATGACCTTTGCAAGTATTTCCTAAATATGTTTCCTTGTACGAAAACGTTCTTTAGTGTATGTCACCAAGACAAAATTGCCAAGAAAGAAGTTTTCCGAGGAAAATAGCCTAATGCCAGTGGGGCGAATTATATACAAGTAATGAAATCCTTCACGATCACCAAAAAGACCTAGAATTTTTCTTTGGATTCTGGCGTCCTGAAAGATGTTCAATTTTGTGTTATTTTTACTAGAGCTAAAAAAGGTTTACAAAAACCTTCATATTAAATAACTTTCTCGATTTCTATAAATCTAGACACCCAGTCGGCGCAATGCTTGAAGAATCTAATTGGCACTATAGCTGAATGAAGCTTAAACTAGATGGTGTACCAGGCACCTCTAGGTTCTCCAGAAGAGCTTTCTATTTCTTTGTCGAAATAACAACCATTTCGCTTTTGTCGTATTTTTTTTTAAATGTTATGCTGACGTTCACCTTGACCTCCCGCTGGTCAATGAAAGAACAGCGTTTTTGTTTGATATTACGAAATTCTTGTCTGAGCGCCAAGAAGTTTTGCTGTTCCTCTATATGTGTCAGTTGATAAGCAAAGAAAAGATGCTGAGATAATATTTTTACAAACCCATTTTTTTCCTGTTTTTGTACGAACTAAGGCAAACAGGAAAATGAAAATCCTATCAATATATAAGCCTTAATCCCCATAAAGAATTTTAGGAATTCCTTTCCAAAGATGTATAAATCATATCTCGAATTCATTACAAGATTAATCTTGTATTCTTTGGGCCTGCAGGTTCTATTCCAAGGAGCCTCATCTAGCTGGCGGGGATCGGCAACGACAACTTGCTTTTAAATTGGCTGAGACATGGCGAGGATATGTGTTTGACGAAGTTGAAATCCCGGACTACAAAGTGTTACTGTCCTATCCTGAGGAAAACAATCCAAACACCATCTCAGTTGTGTCTGAAAACGGGACATTGGTCAAAAACTTCACAGAGCAGTTGAAGGTTTTTGATTTTCCCTCTTTTAAAAAATATTGATTTTCGTGTCAGTCTGTCAATTGATAGATGTCGTTGTCTCAAATTTTCCACCGGATAACATTTCGGTTTCTGTGAAGTAGGTCTCACCTGGCCCTGGAATCAAGGCCACAGACTGGTTTACTCCATACACCGCATATTCTAACAATGGGACTGCTGAAGGGAGACTTGTGTACGTCAATCGGGGAACTGCAAAGGATTTGCAAGAGTTGGAGAAACTCAATATATCTCTCAATGGCACCATTCTGTTGACACGAGATTTTTGGGGCTTCTTTACTTTGGTATGTGAGGTTTCCCCCTCTCTGAGTATGTATACAGTTTTAAAAATAATTCGGGGAGGCCCACGCAAGACTTAATCAGCACCACTTAATCCTAAGCTAACTGCGTACAAAAACTGCACGTTGCTATGACTGTCTAATCTGTGTTAGTTCTAATCCTGCTTTTAGAATCTGAGCACAATTTTAATTTCAAGTAAATGTTGATTTTTGATCCCAAATTCTTAGTACTTTTAAGTTTAAAGGATCCATGCTAACCTGAATTTTGCGATGAATTTATTCTCTTCAAGTTAGAATCTCTTTGACTTTAACCCGAACTAGGAAAGATAATCCCATTTTTCCACTCGTTATTACAGTAGCACAGTTTAATTACTTATGTATTTGCTTGTCCACCTTTTAGACCAGCTTAGCTATCAGCAAAGGTGCTAAAGGGATTCTAATGTATCCAGATCCTAATGTGTATGCCCCAGAAGGAATAGGAAAAAATTCAACCTACCCCAACGCACCATGGCTTTCGTCTGAAGCAGTACCCTTGGGTGGAGTTTATGGTGAACTTGGCGACCCCTTGTCGAAGGGTCTCCCTTCCAAAGAGGGTATCTTCCAGAAATCAAAGAAGAACTGGCAGGTTGGATTACCATTACTTTTACAACCAATATCATATGGAACAGCACGGTCTCTATTGGAAGAAGTTGGAGGTAAGGATGATCAACATTTCTGTATGATTTACTTGTCCCAAATCATTTATTGCACAGATGTGAGTAGCGGAACCGATCAGAAGTATGTGCTACGGCATCGCTGGGCAATGGACGAGGAAAGGCCATAATGCCAGTAGAACGTATTCCTAAACTTTGAGAGGAGTTCCTGTTATTCTGTTCAGTGAGTAATAAATTTGATAATTATGTATAAATGAAACGACGAAAAAATCAACTAGGTGTAAAAACCGCAAAGCGCGCTTACGGGCTTAAATTTACAGCGGTGAACTGCAGGATGGAATGATTCGTTGTCCATGCTTAGCCTTTAACCTCAAGCTTAATTTTGGCCCGTTTAGTCTGGTCTGTTTTATTGAAACCCGTGATAAACCAGATTTTGGGTTTTCTTTACCAGTGGACGATATACCCTCGGAGTGGCTTAAAAATCTCGACCTCACGTTGCAACTCAACCTGCACGGCTCTTCGGGAAGGAACAGAACCGTAAAACTTACCATCAACAACCAGCTGGTTCAAAAGACGATTTATAACGTGATCGGCACCATTAATGGTTGGCAGGAACCGGATCGGTACGTTTTCTTAGGAAACCACCGAGATGCTTGGGTATATGGCGCTGCCGATGCAACCACGGGGATTGCAGTTCTGAAGGAAACAAGTAGAGTATTGGGCAAACTTTTGAAACAAGGTTGGAGACCAAGGAGGACAATAAAACTCTGCAGCTTCGGTGGAGAGGAATTTGGCCTGATCGGTTCTGTTGAATGGATGGAGGAAAACTCTTTGATTTTTAAGGAGCGTGGTGTGGCCTACTTGAACACTGATGTTCCAGTGCAGGGAAATTATGTTCTTTTAGCTCAAACTAGCCCTCTACTCAGCGACGTTATATACAAGTGGACAAAACTGGTTGAGGTGCCATTTGAAAATGGAAGCTATGAATCTATATATGATGTAATGTTGAAGCGTGGACCAACGCCTTCAAACCCGCATGAGCCAAAACTCTGGGCTTTCCAGTTTGCAAGCGACTACATACCGTTCTTCTTTATGGCTGGTATACCATCCGCAGATTTTAGTTATTTCTTTGGCTACGATGAGCAAAAGGGCGGTTGGAAGCTTTATCCATCATATCATACTCAGGAGGACAATTTTTACTGGGTGAAGAAATTTGCTGATCCAGAGTTTGAGATTCATCGCGCCATGACTCTGCTCATGGGTGGCATGCTACTGGATTTGTCAGACTCCCAGATCATCCCTTTCAATTTGTCTCGACTCATGAACACAATACATCGAGCGTTTGATAGCCTTACGGCCTTAAACTCGACATTTAAGAGCGAAAAAGCTGTACGAGACGGCATTTCGGCTGTAAGCAGATCCATAGCTAACTTCTCAAGATCATACAATTCGTTTACGGACCTGGTCAGCAAAGTCAGTCGAGAAAAAAACGTGAATCCCCTCAAAGTGCGATTGCTGAACAACCAGTTGAGCCAAGTTGGAAAATCATTCATAGATTCTAGACACTCTACCCATAACCCAAGTATTTTCCAGAACGTTCTTTTCAAGGACTCATTTTTAGGCGTTTTAGGAGCATTTGTGGAGGCTAGAACCACTAATGATACTGCAAAGATTCAGGAGCAACTGTCTATCGTTTCCATAGCCCTTTCGACAGCTGCTAAGATCTTAGAACCTATCAGACTTCCTAAAGACAAATGAGAGGATAGGATTAAGAAACGATTACCCTTCACTGACTTGCGTCACGTCTATTCGAAATTTCAGTGGGTTATCATTTACTTCATCATAATTTGATTTATTTTTCCGAAAGCTTTGCTTAGTGAAAAGCAACACATGTAAAAAACATTGCCAACAATATCAATACAGTGTTAGGTCACGGAGATCATTTTTGCGAAAAAAGTAAATTTAGTCATTTGCACAAACTGATAGCAATGTGAGTATATTAAAGTTAGCTACTTCATCGTGGAAGCTACGTTCCCTTTCTTTGAAAATCAGGAATTTATTGACTCTTTTGTACATAGGCTATCATGATAAACTTAGAGTTGATAATTATGAGTATAGGCGTACGTTTTAACTTGAAAATTTTTAAGAACCATTTGTGTGGATGCAATATATTCCAAGCTTGTGTTATAAACTCTAGATAACGCTTTTCTTTTGCTAAATTCAGACGTAGTCGTTGAAATTTATCTGCCTCCATAATAGGTAGATAAAGACTAGATTATAGTATCAGTTTTCATTAAAGCTGTTTTTTCATGATCCTGTTCGCGTTAAACGTGTTTTATTTACGCTATGTTTTGTCCAAGGATGCCCAAATTTTTTATATACTTTAGTTTATAAAGATAAGAGTCAGGATGATAATGATGATGATCGGAAACTGACAGTGACAGGGAGAACAACAGTGACAACAACAGCGACAGCGACAGTGCCAGTAGCAGCGACAGTGATAGTGACAGTGACAGTGACGTGACAGTGACAATGATAGTGACAGTGACAGTGACTGTGGAAATTATAGTGACAGTGTGCCATTGACAGTGATAGTGACAGCGACGTGATAACGACAATGACAGTGACAGAGATAGTAACAGTGTGCCATTGACAGTGATAGTGACAGCGACGTGATAATGACAATGACAGTGACAGTGACACTGACAATGATAGTGACAGTGTGACATTGACAGTGATAGTGACAGCGACGTGATAATGACAATGACAGTGACGGTGATAGTAACAGTGTGCCATTGACAGTGATAGTGACAGCGACGTGATAATGACAATGACAGTGACAGTGACACTGACAATGATAGTGACAGTGTGACATTGACAGTGATAGTGATGGTGACTGTGATATTTGACGGTAACAGTGACCGGGGCAGCGACAGACAGACAGACAGACAGACAGTGACAGCGGCTTTGGCACCATCAACTAGATATCACAAGAAATGCAACAACAAAAAAGACTAAAGCATAAAGACGGTAAAACGTTCATCCAAGACATCTTTATTCTGCACGGTAGAAGATGAAAAATTCAAATGCTGGCTGTTATAAAAGTCGATCATATTATTAGGAAGGCAGCCCACACATCAAGCCCCGAGTTAGAAAACAAGTAACAGCAGCAATAACAATTGCCTGCTTGAAAGACAGGCGTGGACGAAAGGACAAGTGACGCTATGACAGTGACAGTGATAGTGACAGCGACGTGATAATGATAATGACAGTGACAGTGACACTGACAATGACAGTGACAGTGACAGTGACAGCGACGTGATAATGATAATGACAGTGACAGACACTGACAATGACAGTGACAGTGACAGTGATAGTGACAGCGACGTGATAATGATAATGACAGGGACAGTGACACTGACAATGACATTGACAGTGACATTGACATTGACAGTGACATTGACAGTGACATTGACAGTGACAGTGATAGTGATAGTGACAGTGACATCGACAGTGACAGTGACATTGACAGAGACAGTGACAGTGATAGTGACAGCGACGTGATAATGACAATGACAGTGACAGTGACAGTGACATTGACAGTGACATTGACAGTGAGAGTGAGAGTGATAGTGACAGCGACGTGATAATGACAATGACAGTGACAGTGACAGTGACAATGATAGTGACAGTGAGCCATTGACAGTGATAGTGACAACGACGTGATAATGATAATGACAGTGACACTGACAATGACAGTGACAGTGACAGTGACAGTGACATTGACAGTGACATTGGCAGTGACAGTGATAGTGATAGTGACGGTGACAGGGATATTTGACGGTAACAGTGACCGGGGCAGCGACAGACAGACAGACAGCGACAGTGACAGTGGCTTTGGCACCATCAACTGGATATCACAAGAAATGCAACAACAAAAAAGACTAAAGCATAAAGAGGTTAAAGCATTCACCCTAGACATCTTTATTCTGCACGGAAGAAGAATAAATTATGAAAAATTCAAATGCTAGCTGTTTTAAAAGTCGATTACATTATCAGGAAGCCAGCCCACACATCATGCCCCGAGTTAGAAAACAAGTAAGAGCAACAATAACAATTGCCCGCTTGAAAGACAGGCGTGGATGAAAGGACAAGTGACGCTTAGACAGTGAAGTGTTTCCCATAGGACTAGCAAACAGGATTAGGTTTAAGACTGAAAGAAAAGATTATATTCTTCTCTCCAAAATCCACCTTCAATTGGCATTCTCCCAGTCATTTTCTAAAGTCGCCAACAGATGTTTGTGTGCTGCTCTGTTCCTTTACTGACAAATAAAAAAAATATTGACATAAATTCTTCATTATGGAACATTCATTTTCTCTCATACAAGTGGGACAAGATGATTAAAAGCCTCAAATTTGCAGTCTTAGTTTCTTTAGGTCAAAAACGTATAAATGTTCGAACGAAAGACCCCAGAGATCAAATACATGACTCCAAGTAAGTGTGCAAGGACTTGGGAACTCATTTCAGTATAAAAGTCTTCAAAATCATTGCTTTCGGCTTTGCAGTTGGAGTTGTAAAGTGATAAGCTTATAGCTTCTTGGCAGATATGAAGGCTTTTGTTTTTCAAATATGCAAGTAATGTTCTCCTTAGGATTTATCAATCGACAGGCTCGGAAATGCTTCTTTTTTGTTATATTTAAAGGGCTAAATCTCTCTCCAGGTGGCCCCGAAATGCATTCATCAAGCTCGTCTTCCGAAGTGCTTTTGAAAAGACTAAAAAAGCTCAGATAGCTAATTAATGATTTTGTCACCAATAAGCAATAGAATTTAACTCTCAACCCACGGAAGGGCGCTGGGTTATAAATTTCTCGGCTATCGAGAGGGTCAGCAAATTGGCACTTAGTAAGATAAGGCAGAGATCGGCTCAAGAGTATTTCTTTCTTATTTTCTTATTTTCCTTTCCGTTATCTTTACGAGAACATTTGTTTTGATCCTGTATTCCAAAGGAGGCTTGCTATCTACAAAAATAAGTTGATTAGCTCAATTGGTTACAGCGCCGGATTGTGTTGTGCGGGAGGTCGAGGGTTCTTGCCTCGGCCGGACCAATACTCAGGGTCTTAAAATAACTGATGAGAATTTGCTACCTTTCTAAAATATCAAGAAATGGATAGATATTCTAGTCTTCTCGGATAAGGACGAATAAACCGTATGCCCCGTCTCCTGCAAGGTTAGGGGGTAGGAGACGTTAATTTGCCACGCACGAGATTACTGTGTGGGGGATGTTCTCCTCTGGGGTGGGATGGGTGGGTTTGTCTTACGTTATATATATATATATATATATGAGACACTAGCTCGGGTAATTGGGTTACCATGCCTCACGTAAAGACAATAAACTTGATTGTACTGCATTGTATTGTAGACCGGCACAAGGGTTTTTTGTTTAAGCGTCAGAATAAAATCATTTGTCGCTACTTCTCGATGCAACATTCGTTATGCGTGGCAAGTGCGCAATAAAATATAAGACCTCGTTGGCAATTTTAAAAGATACTGAAACAGGTCGTAACAGACCATTTACTGCCATAGATTTTTCTTGTTTAGTTATTCTGATCGCTTCAGAGAATGATAAGACGGGTAATTAATATTTCCCGAAATTGCCCGAATATCATTTCCTAGAAAAATGGACAATGAAAATCATGGGCTTTCTCCGAACTATTTATTGACTCTGCCACAGGAATATCATCCACCACGAACCCTACTTTCATCCTCTAAATCACCTCTTATTACTACGTAAACTCTATGACCTACAGTCAACGTGTGCTATCCATCTATGCACCTGTATTATGGAACATTCTGCTCAATTCTCTTAAAATGCTGTTTCGGTCTCGTCCTTCAAAGCTGCCTTAGAAACATCTATATTTCGGAAGTTTTTTCTTTAAACTCTAAGAATTGTTTTATATGTTTTTACTTAATCATTGTTTTTGTTATTTTGTGTTGACGATTGGTTWTATATATAGATGTAACCGCATTGAGACTTGAAATGCCCACATAAAATATTGTTATTATTCTTCTTATTCTTCTCTCCTTATTATTATTATTACCGTTATTATAATTATTAATCAGGAAATTAAAACAGCCATGGAGAAGTCATCGCTAAAGATCAGGCCACAGTTATTCGAAGGCTGGAAAACGCTATCCAGTAACGTTGGTAAATATTTACCCGTTGGATAGCGATTTGGGACCCTCGTTGTGAGTAAGTGAGGTGACAAGATGGCCGGCCGTGGTAGAGTCCCTACCACTTTTAATAATCTGAGCCCTCTTGCCACACTTATTCTGGTATTTAGCTCCATTGACATCTCGAAAAAAACCTCACTAAGCACTGGATCAGTTTTCTACTGCGAATATTCGTGTACTTTGAGGAATATTTCAGTTTCACTACGAGGGCTGCGTGTGTGAGAACGAGAACGAGGTATCTCGGAGCCAAACTGAGCTACTACCCGAATAGCGACTCTTGCCTTCAACTGGGAAGAATTGCCATCAGTGGAGTTTCAAAAAATCCCGGACCTACAGTGGAAAGAAAGAGAAGCGGAGAGAAACCTACTAAAAGTGTGTGCACCGGCTGCGGAAAAACTATGAGAAAGAACCAAAATGGCGTGCTGTGCTCTGGTTGTACTGGCCTATTCCACTTAAAGTGCACTGGCATGAATAGAAAGGAATTGAACAGCTACCGTAGGAACGGCACATGGCTTTGTGCAGATGCTGTATGCCTCAGTTTACAGACAGCTTTTCTGAGGATTCGGTGAACGAAGAAATACTGAGCGTTATGAGTGATGACGATTCGACATCTGACGCATTGGAATGGTTTTCAGGGAATATAAAAAGCTACTATAAGTCCAACATTAAAATCGCTCATTTGAATATTAACTCCATTCAAAACAAGCTCGATGAGGTTAAAGAAATGTTGAACCGGATTATGTTTCATATTCTATTTATTTGCGAAACTAAGCTGGACGGATCGTATTCCTCTACTTCTATCTCCTAGGATACCGGATTGTACGACGAGATCGGAAAAAAGGTGTAGGTGGATTAATGGCGTTCATACGGGAAGACTTGTTTGCCTACAGGCGTCGAAAATTAGAGCCGGAGTCGGTCGAGGCAATATGTTTAGATGTACGGATTTTAGAAAGTGCCGTTTCATTGTCTGTGCATGTTACAGATCCGAGAAAGTCAACAAGCCTGCAAAATTTATATCTTCGCTGAGTTCTGCAATCGAACTGATGTTTAAGTGCCGCCAAGAGATAATTTTAATAGGAGGTTATAATTTGGTAATTTGGGCATGCATGTTAATGAAGATAAAGGAAGAAGGGAAAACAAGGCACTCAAGGATCTGTGCGACAGGTTTTGTTTATTCAATCAAATTACCGAACCTACGAGAATTACGGAGAAAAGCCAATCATTGATAGATGTTATCTTGGCCAGTCATCCTGAACGTTTCGCCACCAGTGGCAACTTGCATCTTGGAGTTAGTGATCATGATTTAGTATTCGCAGTCAGGAAACAGAAAATTCCAAGACCAAACGCACGCGAGATTGAATATAGAAGCATGAAAAATTTGGTTGAAAAGGAACTTCTAGAAGAACTAACGAGGGTCCCTTGGGACTCGGCGTATACTTTTGAAGATGTTGATGACCTATGGGATCACTGGGCGAAGCTTTACTGCGAGGTGTTGGACAAACACGCCCCTCTAAAGAAAAAGTGGGTCAGAGGTGACCAGCTGCCGTGGATCACTCCTGAATTACAACGTGAAATTTCTCGGCGAAATCGACTATTCAAGAAACACGCTAGAAATCCAACTGATTCTTCTTGGGAAGAATACCGTGATGCTTCCTTGAATAAAAAGTATCATGGAGAATTCTAGAGGAAAATGAAACCGCTTCTACCAAGTAAGGCGAAGACGCAGTCCAAGATCGTTTTGCTGGAGAACGAGCAATTGATTACGGACCCCAAGTGTGTTGCTGAGATATTTAATAATTATTTTTGTGACGCAGCTGCAAGTGACGGCGCTCAAATGAGTGTGGATGAATTTACTGATCACCCTAGCGTCAAGAGGATTGCTGAACATTTCGGACCTGCAAGCAATTTTGATTTTCAGCTGATAGAGGCGGAATATGCGAAGGACATACTGTTGAAGCTTAATCCAAGGAAACCCGTAGGATGCGATAACATATCGCAAAGACTATTGCGTATTACAGCTCCCGCCATTGCACAGTAGGAGACGGGGACCTACGATTTATCGTCCTTCTCCGAGAAGACTAGAATGTCTAACCATTTGCAGATGTTATGGCAAAGGCAGCAAATTCTCCTCAGTTATTTTAAGACCCTAAGTGGTGGTCCGGTATGGGACTTAAACCCTCGGCTTCCCACAGGGCAGTCCGGCGATCTACATAATAAGCTACTCAAGTAATGGAATATCTTTAGCAAGTGAAGACACCACTGTCGCATTGGTTATCGATAAAAATGAGGTTTGTGCTGAAGGTTTACCAGATTCTAAAAATGATGTCAAATGAACGAGATGCAGTCAGGTAATGTTCGACAAAAACAAATGAAAGGACCATTTTCTGCCTTCAGTTAAGCATAAAATGCACTTTTCAGCATTTTATAGAATACTGGATTATGGCTTTTTGAGGGCCTGTAAATGCCCTTCGGCAATAAATAAAGAAATATTGCGCTATACCTGTAATACACAACACTATGAACGCAAGCCCACACAACAAGGTAACGAAAGCGAAGAAACAAAGTCAAAAGGATAGAAAAAAATAAAAATACGATATATATAAGATTACGGCGAAATGAATATCATCTGGTATCATGCGATATCCTCTTGGTATGTTTTTAACGCTATAAAACTTGTACGAAAGCGATCCCCGCAGTAGTCAGTGAACCGCACTACTTATATTACAGCAGTGGTGAAAATAGAACTTATTTTTCTTACGTTTGAAAAATAGGCTATAGCGGCTTCCTGAGAACGTGAAAGTACTCTTCGGCAATACATAAAGAAATATTTTTATTCCTTCAGACAACCAATATCGCGACGAAAATTCAGTTTGAATTTGTAAAAGCCGGCTTTTTGACTCGAAATTTATGTTCGAGTAGACCAGTTTATTTCTAAACAAATTTATAACAAGAAGTCTATTCCTTTCCTTAAAAGGCTGCTTTTAATGCTCACTTGTATGTTTTACATCCCAGCTTTTACTTCACCATAAAAATCCTGCTAGAGCAGGAAAACACATCTAAACCAAGTCCAATATTTTCAATAGGGACATCTTCCTTGGAAATCTAGAGAGAAAGATGCCAAGGGATAACAACAAATAAATGTTAGATCATATTAGAAATTAATGTCTAATCATATCATCATATATCAAAAGTGGCCTTGAGATCCTGAGTATAGAGTCAATAAGCATTTTGTCATATGATATAACAAACTAAGTTTTGAAAAATTCAAAGAGTCGGTTTTAACTTAAATGGGGTGCGATAGACTGGCGCGCGCGGGAAAACCACAAAAAAGGTTCTACAATGAAAGCTTTTCGAGTCAGAAGAAGAACCTCATGGTTCACTGAAAAACGTGACCTGCTTTCTCATTTTTCTTCACTGCCGTCACTCATTTTTTTGCAACAAGGGCGAACAATGTGTTTTTTCGTTTTTTGCAACAAGGCCTTACAACTGCGGCCTTTCAAAATTGTTTTCTATGGAAATGCGCGAGTGGGGCCGGACGGATCAAATGATAATGGCAAATTATGTAAGAAGAACCCCCTATACCCGGCTAATCATTACTTAAAAATAATAATTTGAAAGGAAACTTGATTTAATTTCTTAAGTTTACCAGCGTAAACCTTTCATCGTTTTCCTTTTAAGCTCACCTAAATATTCTGAGACAAAGCAGCCCTTTTCGCTGTTAGTCCCCTCGACGACGACGTCTACGCCAGCCACAACGTCTGCGTCGACGTCGACGTCGACGTCTTCGTCGTCGTCTACGTCGACGGCAAGGGGAACGACGGCGGTATCGGTCGACAGTATCGCGTGGATACCGATCATGTTCCCCTACATCTAATGAACTTTGTTCCATAAAACTGAAAGAAAGTAAAAAATAATCAAAACGTAAAAAAAGCAGATGAAAGTCTGCAAGATGCGATTTTCACCATGTCATTTCACCTTTTATTGAAGTAAGTGAAAGGGGATCGTCTATATAAA